CACATCGGGCGTGAACACTCACCAGAGTTCCCAGATCGTACCACACTTCGGAAATGTAGGGATTCAAACGAATAGCACGAGAATAAGCATCCAACGCATCGCGGTACTGATTGATCTGGTAATAGAGTACACCAATCGAGCACCAGAAAGTCGGATTCCGACCGTCGCGGTAAACGGCTTGCTGATACGCTTCATAGGCCTTGGGGTACTTGGCTTGCGACATGTAGCAGCGACCGAGAAGATACCAGCTTTGGGCATCGCTGTTGTCTGATGGAATATGAGCGGAAGAAATGCGTACACCGATGCAAAAGACCTACCTGCGCTGACAGACTTCTCAAGGAACTCAATGGCCTTCTCCTGGCTAGTGTAGTTGTTGCTCTGTTGATGGAACAGCCATCCAAGCTGTTGCAGAACCTTCGCGTGGTTGGGATCACGGTCCAGGACGCGCCGGTACGCTTGCTGCGCAGCTTCGAACTGCAAATTCGTTAGTCATCATAATCGTCATTCTTCTCGGTGTTGAGAAAGCCCATACATCCTTCTGCTGTTCATGGACATGGCCGATCTGGAACCAGATGTCCTCTTCCGTCAATGGGCGAGGGGGGTCGGCAACGATGTATTTGAAACACTGATTGAATCAGCACAAGAACGAGACGGTATAGTAACCTTCTGAACATACCTCCAAACTCTGAGTGAATTTCTGCTGCTGCTTGTATATTATTCCCAGTCTGAAGTAGATCTCATTGGCCTTTTCAAAATCAGGGGCCATGCGCATGACCTGGGAAAAGGCCTCTTCGGCGTGATCGAGAGAGCCATAGCGATCGTAAAGGATACCGATGCCATACCACAACTTGGGCTCCTAGAAGAGAAGGAACGTTAGTCATTGCTCTCGCACATCATGCGTGCGATTTCACTAACCTTGGGATCGCGCAAGTGGTACAGAGCCTGTTGGTAAGAGGTATACGCCTCTTGCAGATTATCCATCATCAGATGACAATGACCTAAGAAGCGACTGTTGTTAGCACACCAAAAAATGTAAGCGATACCAAGGTTAAGTACCCAAACTGCCCCAAGTTTCTCCACTTGTCGGATCCAACTTGAGAATATTCTGAAGATACTCAATCGCCTTGGGAAATTGTTCCTTTGTCCGCAGAATACACGAGATCGCGTTCATCGCAGGGATTGACCACTGGTTGTGCCGTAAAGCTTGCTCGTATGCGTTCATGGCACCATCCAAATCGCCGATCATTTCGGTAAGGTTTCCTGTGCGAAAACTGTCAGCAGCCGTCGCTTTGCTGAACGGTCGGCGCGTTCTGCTATCGAGACACAGATGAGCCATTAACTTACCGATTTGAAGCCAAACCTGCTCGTTGAGTGCGGCGATCTTCTGAGCAGTGCTCAGAGGAGGACCTTTCTGGCTTTGAGTCTGCAGCGGCATGTGGCCATTAACCTGGGGGTGAGCTGCGAGATGGCCATGGTGAGGAGTGACGCCCCCGGTGGGAGACGGTTGGGTATGAGCCATCGTGGCCGGTCGACGTTAACACGGAACGCAATATATCCAGGCGTTGACAGGGTGAAGCGTTTAGTTCGCCTTTGCGACACAGGTGATGCAATGAGCGCCCGTGTCACTGAGAGGTCGCACAGTCCCGATGGACGTAGTCGCGCAAACCAGTCACCCAATGATGTTCAAACGAAGCGCGACCGCGTCCGGGAAAACGGTTCCCAAGATAACTGCCGCGCTAGCGAGTCTAGAACTAAACGTCGTCACGACGACGGGGTGCAATTGAAGGAATGCGAAACGGGACGATTCCTAGTCGCTCGTGGTGAGGTAGATGCTGCGAAATTCGAGCGGCAAAGAACGTGCAGGATCAATCAAGTCCAAAATGCAGGTATATGGCTGGGAACGGAACGGAACAAGCGTGTGGAGCGACAATCAACAACTACGGGGAAGGGGGCAAAGGATTGAAAAAGGCACGAGTAAGAAAGAAGCAAGATGAGGCAAAAGCGGGTGGGAAGGCTGAGAGAGTGGGAAGATAAAAGTGAGGGATGGGGGGGAGTGGAATTGGTAGACCAAGGGCCAGGCAGAGGTCAAGTTACGGGGTAGGGGAAGCCAAAGCAGAAAGGGAAGGGAAGAAGAGAGAGAGAGGGAAAGGAAAGAAGAGAGGGAGAGGAAATGGGAAGAGAGGAGGGAAAGGTCGAGGGGCTGGTGGTAGAGGGCGAAATTTGCCAAGCGGCGCTAGTGGTTGTGCAGCTCTCCAGCAGTCAGCGAAACCAAAGGAAAGCACGGAAAAGCTGAGATGGCGGTCGTCCGGCGCCAAGCCGAAGACAGGCAGCTTTACGTCCAGGAACGGCCTAGCGGGTGGGGACAACCTGGAGTCGTGTCCGCGGGTATTTACAGTTAATATTTTCCGGGCGCCCGGAAACTCAGGTGAGCGCCGGAGGATGCATTCACCCAAGCTAGATACTCTTATAAGCATCATGCAGACCACGGCACCAGTGAGATAATAATAAAAATGATTATCTATAAGTAAATTACTGTAAGAAGAACAAATGAGCAGCACGCTATGCTCTTTTACGATATCGCCTATTATTCCAAGTTTAGCCCTCTACTCAAGTGGATTCATGTACGATACTCTGATATGAAGCGATCGCCTTGTCAAGGGCGGAAGACAGCGAGAAAGAAGTCGAGAAAGAAGAATAACGATGAGATTATTTTTATACGGATACAAGCGACATAAAATATGTACCTCATAACACCCGCCTGTATTCTATGCGTGCAAGGTCACGGGAACTTCCTCAGATTTTAATTCACTGATTCCTTGCCTCTTTTTTGTCGCTTCTTGCTAAACCCAGCTTCTCTCTCTCTCTCTCTCTTTCTAATGAGGGGGAATATGGCAGTGTGATTGTGCTGTGGACAAGGGTTTAGCGTCATGCTGGCAGGTGGGGCGGATGTGATGGTTACGAGTTAAGTTAAGAGCAAATTTAAGAGAAAAGGGAAAAAATAATAATTTAGGAAATGACATGAATAAGAATAAAAGAAGAAAAGGGAGAAAAATAAAAATGAGCGACTATGAGCAGTAGCCTCAAATTGACTAGAGTGGATATAATGGAGGGAGAGGAGGGGGGCCACACTTCTGGTGGGACGGGTTCAGCGAAAGGTTTAGTGGGTATGGAGTCGAACCGCCCCGAAACAGGGCAGTGTTTGACGAGGATGCAAGCGCCGGAGCCAGGAAGGCACCTCCAGGGATGGGATGGAGAGGGAGGAGGGGGGGGGTTGTGTGGTAAGTCTAGCACGAACCCCCGGTTGTGACTCGCCGATGGGGGCCTGCAGGTGGGCCATGGAACCTAGACCCACCCGGACTGACCTCTCTTCCCCGTGCCCATTTTTATTTTATTTATCTTATTATTTAATAAATTAGTGCCATCAGTACGGAGGGCCGCCAATAATTCCTGACTGCGGCTGTGGGGCCCTCAACCGACATGCTGCGCTACCTGACTGGTGTATGGCCATAAGCTCAACCACCTAAGCTCCCGGCAGCCTAGTCAGGCATGAGGCGTACTCCACACTCGGACCACCTGCAAAGTCCAAATGTTGCAGTCGCCCCCCCTCTCTGTCTGTCTCGCTCTCTCTCCCAATGGCTCACCCAGAAACGGCTTGCTTACTGTGCCCTCCCTCGGTGCCAGACAATACATGCACTTGCGTACAGATGGAGTAGGAGACCCCCTCTACTGTAATGATGAGTCCACGCTCCCAATGCTCGGCCCCATGGTCTTGCCGGCGGCACCCAGCAACGACAGCCGGGTGTGTCAACCAATAAATAACCCAGACCCGAATTCTCCCCCCTCCCCTTCCTTCCATCACAGTGATCCCTTTATGCGCTAAATCAGAGTGACCAGGTGTCAGTGCACCCAGCCAATCCTGCATCTTCCCGACTATGCTCAGCGGTCTGCAGGCGCCTCGACTGCCCACATTTTGGGGAGGAAAAGGTACCAAATAGTTCAAACAAAGGGAAAAATTTAAGTTTCTCTGGAACTTCATTGTTAATCGGGGTTTTGTGGGAAGAGTAGTGACGCTTAAACTTAGTATTTGCTAGAGCAGGGTAGCGAATCGGGAGGGCTAGTTGCTTTTTCCTCAACTTTTGCCCCTTCCGTCATGGCTCGTTCAGAGGCTTCAGCCGCGGGACTGCCGCAGCGGCAGGCTTATCTAAGCACACTAGGCCAGATCCCACGCATGGGAAATGCCACCTACCGGCACCAGCCACCAGCCACATATTCTTAACGGATTCCTTTGAGTGGGCCGTTCCCGATGCTGATCCGTCGGCTCTTCTGTTGGTGTCGATGATCTTGATACATCACCTGGGTGGGCCGATCCTTTGTGTCCTTTTTTCCCACATTTTTCTTTTCTTTTCTTTTTTTTTTTACAGTACTTCCCTTTTCGCTCTTTTCCCTCTCTCCTACCCTTTTTCGCCCTCTCTATTCATCTCTTTTCCCTCCCCCCCCTTTCTTCCGCACTAACTAGCAACCGCACGGGACTACGAAAATAACAAGAAGCCACCTAACAGGCTAACACACTCTCCCTCCCAACACTGTCATTTGCATTAATTCTTCGGAAGGCTACACTCCCCCCTTTGGGACCTTTTTGCAGCTTTGCCATATCAGGGTCCCAGTGCCGAGCGACTAACTAAAAATGGGCACAGTGGGAGCTTCTAGCGACGGGTGGATAATAAGGTGTGACTTTCACTATTCAAGAAAGGAGTGATTCATGATGAGCGGCTTCGGGCCCCTATTCTCGTGTCGGATCCGAGTGCCTTTTTTCCAAATCAAGTCGCTCCTAAAGGTCGGACTTGGCCACCATCGACAACAATCAAGTTTACTATATATTCTTACATCCCCACAAAGCCAGAAGATGGATGGAGTCCGTATGTAAGACGAGAATTAAAAAAAGAAAAAGGAACTAACAAGCAAGTAATATAGGGGCATTTTTACCCCATACTATAACCCCCCTAGTAGTAGTACCACCACCACCACCACCCCCTGTCTAGCAACGAGATGAGTGACAGTCACTTCAGCCCAGTGGAGGCAAAGGCAAGGCACGGATTCTCTCCATCTTACATACCAGATCGCAAACCCGGCCGACCGGAGCTGCCACCCACCCAGTTATCCACCCATTCTTCGCAACCGGCATACAGTGATGAATGCCGCCCAGCAATGTACCTGAAACACGATAGCAGGAGCACAAACAATGCATTGACAATGTGGTCGGTATGTGGGTCACTCGGGCAGATTTGTATCGCAAGGGGGTGAGCAACTCAACCCTTTCGACGGAGTACATCGGTTTGTTCTATTCTTGTCCAACGCAGTGCTTGCTTGCTTACTTGCTTGCTTGTCTGCCTGCTTAAAATACAGCAAAGGAGTCCAAATATGCATGCACATAATTCAGGCTAATCGCTCACGCTAGTAGATAGATAGATAGATAGATAGGGAGCTTCGTTTCGCCCTTCCATTCAACTTCTTCATATTACGAACGACACAAGTCAATAGACAATTGTACTATAGCCCAGCACATACTAGCACCAACACCACTTCCTCGGCAGCAGGGATTGGATTAATTTAACTAACCATTGTCCCCATTCATTAGATTAATCCCCGTTTTTATTAGCCACTTAGTTGCTTGCAGCTTATTATCATCACCCATGCACGCACGGCGCTTACTTACGAAGCAACTTTTGACCGGGGAGTAGGAGGGCCCCATATGCATAATACAACCCGAACAAGCGGACAGGCAAGTAGATAAATAAGTAGGCAGGCAGACAAGACAAGACAAGACCGACGACAGTAGACACACCGACGCCCGCATGGATATTCCTGTATGTAGGTCAAGGAATCTAGAAACTGCAAGCTAGGTAGATACATAAAAGCAAAAAAATAGAAAGCCAAACTAACTTTCCAGATTCCACGACACACACAGCAGACATGCCCACCCCCGACATACTCCGTACATATTTTGTTCCACCTGTACGACGCCTTTTGACAGGCTGATCTGATGACTGCCGATGGTTTATGCAGGTATGCCTGCTGCTGCGCCAGTTTGCGCGCACAGGGACCCAGCCAGCGCTAGGGACGAAAAAGAAAAGCAGGAAAATTGGGGGGGGGGGGGGGGGGGAGGGAAAGAAAATATATAACTATGGGATAAGTGTACAAAGTTATAAGAATTTCTGAATTTGGTGCAGGGAAAATATAAAAAAGAAAATGGAAAATGGAAAATGGAAAATGGAAAATGGAAAATGGAAAATGGAAAATCAAAGTAAAATATATTATTTCTTCGATATTAAAAACGGACGTGACAGGGCAGGCAACCTACTTACCTACTACTAGTTACTACTGACTGCTAACCGCCAGAAAGAATTAACTGGGTTGTCATGGATTCCCATGAGTCTCGTCTCCTCTTTTTTTACCCCCCGAGGCCGAGCGCGCGCGCGCCTCGCCCCTCTCTTCTCCCCCTTCCCTTCCCTTCCCTTCTCTTTTCCCCGTTCTGCCAACGTTACACAACATCATGCGATCCACTCTTTAGTAGCTGCTGCTGCTTCTGCCGCCGCTTTCACACAATCCTTCTATGTATGTACTTATGTACCTAAGTATGTAGGCAGATAGCTAGCCAGGTAGGGATTGCACAACTCTTGCTTTTTCTCCCTCCCGCCGGGTCAGTCCGTCGACCTACCTATCTGTCAGTGTGTCTCACAAGTTCCCAGCCCACTGGCCGGCCCATCTACCAAGCAAGCAGTAAACCACATGTGTTGTATACATCCGCATTAAGAAAAGAAATTCGCAGGAAATAAAAAAGAAAAATGGACAGGTCATCATCATCATCGGTCAATATATTCCTCCAACTATATCCATCTGTCATCACATCCACATCACATCTCATCGAGATGCTTCCAGGAAGATAAACCTAATCACTGTACGACTTGAGCGAAACCTTGGGTTTTATTTCCCCCTCCCCCTTCCCTGAACCAACCATAAGAACGGCAACAATACTAGTAATGAGAATGATAATATTTAGTAAGTTGATTCAGCCCCCAAAGTAAGTAGCCAGGGTAGTCTAACCATTAACCAACATAAACCCTTTCCAATCTACTAGTTAGTAGAATAGTCTACTTACTAAGGGGATGGTACCCCTCAGGCACAGACCACACGTTTTGGGTCTAGCCGACCAACCAAAAATGTCACCTTCGGCATGGCCCGGCTTCCGGTGACGGCGACGACGACGGTCGGTCAGCCAGCATGCCAGGTGTGGTGTTGGTATTTTATGCCTTGGTGCCTTAGCTTGCTGAGCTAACTTACCCTATTGTACTAGTACCAATTAAGTATATAGGGTAAGGGTAAAGTCCTGTCCTGTTCCGCAAGCGGAGCGCACCACAAATGCAACTTGGCCCCCTACTTTGTCTCATCATCATCATCATCATCATCATCATCATCACCATCATCAGCATTTACATTTCTGGAACGAGTTCGGGACCCAGAAATCTTCAATCCAGATAAATTTGTATGGTACTAACCTACTGACTATGAACTTAGTCAGTAGACAGAACCAGACACGCTGACATAATAATGACCCTATTCATCATCATCATCATCTTCATCTTCATCTTCGGGTAGATAAAACACACACAACCACAAACATAGAGTTTGAATGTAAAGTATTAATTAAGGTTTTTTTCAATTTTTTTTTGTTTCCCTACTCCATACTTAGTAGACTAGCGGGCTTTTTCCTCGTACTGACAATTGTGGGCTATGGATCCCATCTAACTATCTACTATTTATTGATTTTCTTTCCTTGGAACACTACTGCCGTATGTAGTCTAGACAATGGAGTGGCATCAAGTTTAAGGGGTTAAATTTCCCGAACCACTGATAATTCTAGATATGGTGGTTCTAGATGATCTTCAGTAATATTTCTTATTTTAGTTGTGAATTGAAGGAATGAAAGAATGAGTAGAACAGAACAAGAGAATTACACACAAATATCAACTTGTTTCTTTTCTCTCCGGTCTCATTAATAACTACTTATTTATTCACTATGTGCTGTGCAGTGTGTGTAGAAAGGGGGGCGGGTAGAGTAACCCGAACCCCATCGACGATCAACGATCACATCAGCTGAGATGTTATGCGATGCGATGTGATGAGATGCGATCAGATCTGATCAAAGATCAGCTGTGCTTAGTTACTTACATACTTACTTACTTAGTCGCCTAGTTAAGTAAGGTAGGTAGGTAGGTAGTTAGGCAACTTCTGTAACAGGAATGGTATGTACAGCAAGTAGGTAAGTAGATGCAGGGAAGTACTAAGTAACCTTATCCGTGACGAACTACTAGTTACCACGTAGATGGTCCTGGTGGTACTACTTACATCTCGTGTGGGTGTGTGGACTGGGTCTGGACTTGAAACGGGGGAAGCATGATGTAGCTGTAAGGGACGGGGAGGGATGAGGTCATGGTCATTTCTTATGTGAGTTCTTTTGTATATGTATGTATGCATGTGTGGGTAGGTGGGTATGTGTATGTGGGAAGTAGGGATCGATCGATGAGTTGGTGAAGGGTTGTAACTAGATATAGATGGATGTTACGATGGATGGTGTGATAATGGTGAGTATCCATAGTGATATATTTATGTAGTAGAAGATGGACTCTGAACCGAGAGATTACATTGGGTTGCTTGGTCACTGCTAAGATCATGTTAGATGTTTCTAGTATCTAGATCACGATTGCCACTAAAAGATATATTGTACCATGGACTCATGAGTCTGGATGATCATGTATCGTTGCAGGTTCCAAGTTCAAAGCTACTGTAGCCAACCCGTTCTTAATGTCACTGCGCCGTGTTTCTCCAACGTAAACAGTAGCATCATAGTAAGTAGAGCTCTTCATGTGAAATGTCACTATGCTACAGTTGTAAGTCCCAAAGTAGCACAGCCAGTTAGCCAATCGACGGTTGAAACTTAGATATCTGGTCGGGTAAGTGACAAAGGCATTCTTCAGACACATGTGAATGTGACATTGTTTGCTTCTAGAAGAACCCAAAGATCCTTGGCCTCACTAGTAACACACCATCTACGGTGTATAAGGCGGGCATCTTTTCCGGGCCTGAACCGGGGATCTCACCTGATTATTCCCGGTGAAACAACAAGCGTCCGGAGGAATATTGGTGAGTTAGCAAGTTACAAGAGATTCTGACGATGACTTGATATGCAGCTGATGGGGCGAGAGAAAAAAGCAAAAGACACCCAGAAATGGCCAGCCACAGCAACATATTCTGCCGACCATGGGGCTATGTTACTTGTTGATCTGACTAGTGTCTGCTGTGACACCCTCCAATGGGACACAGGGGGGAGATGAAAGTTGATGTGTTATCTAGGCACTTTAATCAACTCCTTGCAGGTGGGGGTCATTTAGTCTTGTCGATTGCGTGAAGTTATGACTGACAAAGATGCGACGGGCAGTACAGACATTCTGGGTAATTAGTGTCGTTGTTGGAAGGCTTGGAACAGGTTCCTTGGAAAAGGACTCTGACAATTTGTTGGATTTCTCTAGAACTCCGCACAGGATTTGGCAGCCCCAGAGACAGTACTCAATGCGGTCGCTCCGATGTGAGACACCTTCTTTGATGATTCAAGGAGTAGGTGTTCGTGTCTTAAGGAGCACATGCGATAGAAACTGACGCAAATGATCGTGTCAGACAGATCAAAGTTATCAGATCGACGAGTTTGACTCATCGCGCCAGCTATCTGTGACAGCCGAGAAGACTTGCATGTATATATGATCCAACTTAGTCTTGAGTTAGCGTTCAAAGACGAAACATGAGGATCGCGATACTTATGATCTGTACTCTTCTGTCGGTGCCATATACAATATCTCAAGCCGCCACCATCAGCGGCTTGCACGCCACTGAGATCCTGCGGCCAACGTTGGCAAGCCACAACGGCAAGGCATCCACGTATTGAGAACTCCGTACAGCCTAGCGTGGGACAAGCAGAGTGTGATTGGGCATTTGTGCACCCGCGGAGAAGAAGGTCAAGGACCAGCAGTTCACATGGCACTCAGGCGTCGGGAGTGTTGGAATTGAGGGGATGTTCCCGAGGAAAATGGGGGAGGTATATGCACAGTGCTACCCTGTACCTTGTAGCATCCCGGACATCGTTCCACAGGGGGAACAGCCAATATGGTTCTGTGAAACTTGCATGGAAGCCATGTCTACAGTGCGGGATCGGCCCTATGTCCCTGGCCAAGAGTTACAGGCGCAGGAGAGTTTCCACATCCGAAGTTCTGGGCGTGGCAGCCAAGAACAGTCTGGATCTGGCGGGAGAGGGGATGGGGGACCAACGGGAGAAAACGGTCTGGAAAGTCGGCCAGACGGAGGCTGATCACGAGCAAAAATTTATTGAACATGGGCCTTCAAGCCATGCCACGCAATGATACGCACAGAAGTCCGATCTGATGCGGAGGGAAAGCTGGGAAAGTCAGTTTCAGTCGTCATGTCGGCTAAGTCAGAAGGGCACATGGCCCGGCATATGGGCAGTCGTAATCTATCTCTCGGCAACAGAGGGGGGGGATGATTGGGCATACAGAAGGGTCGCTAAGCCCGGTCGATTGATTCGAAACAAGTGGTCTGGCAGTGAGACTGGCCGAGTCGGTATGTTTAGGATCAACAATGGGTTACCTATTCGTTGGTTGATAAAGTAGCACGGCATGTTGAAGGAGAAGGACAAGACTTTGGAGACCGCCACCGGACATCGGGTTACCTAATTTATTGATAGGATCGACCAGCTGGACACGAAGCAGAAACACCACCCAAGCCGGGTATACGGCTCTTCCAAGCAGGAGCATGCTAGATAAATAGATACCTGGCGGGGCTGGGCTGGGCTGGGCGCCACTTGTTGGGGGGAGAAGATTGTTGTGTATTTGGAGGAAAGAAAGAAGGGCCAAGCTGCGTTTCCGAGGTTCAGAGCCAGCCCTGGTCATCGAGATAATTATAATGTTTGGTCATGATCGTCATACTACTCGACTCGAGGAAGAATAATATGCTTCCATCTTGCGTTTCGTTCACTCCAACATAATAATATTTAAATGCTCTCCTAGTGGATGGACTCGGGTGAAGTTGCTAGAAGAGGGCATGGCGTTGCAATGGGAGAATAGTAGATCGGGAACCTGTAACCGGGACGGACAAGAAACACCTCGATTAATGCAGATGTATTATTAGTGATTTGGGGTATTGGCTGCGGTCAGCGCTATGCTAGATGTGATCTGGCCGTAATACCGCCAAGCCGACCAGCCAACCTCCGAATGCGGATCACGGACACGCTCGCAATGCCACCAGCCAATCAAGGATCGTTGCTCGTCCACCAAAATCCCCGCAGGGACTTGGCATCTTGGCACGCGGTACAGATACGGTAACATTGCTCCTGCGACACGCCCAAACACTGCAGATGGGGAGGTGACGGGGCTTGAAATTCCAGACGAAGACGAGGCAGGGAAATACTCTCTTCCTCTTTCCGGTGGGAAGGAAGAGATTGAGATGAAAGATGGAGATAGTAAGTAAGTAGAAAGAGAGGTGGAGCTGAGGAGGAGGAATTCAATTTCTCTTAACTCGTCAGCCAGTGGTGGTGTGTCTGTCCTCTTTTTCCTCCCTTCATTTCTTTTCCCTTTCACTTTAATAAGTGGTTATCTTCAACTTTATCCCCGACCCCCGATCCCTCTCTCTCTCTCCCCCCGCTACTCGTCCCTTCCGGTAGCTCCTTTTCACATCTCAAGGCTCCTCAGCCTAGCACCCCATTCCTTCCCTCCGCTCTCCAAACCCGAGGGGGGAGAAAATCTCCCCCTTTCAACCTTCGAGAAATCCTTGGGACCTCGCACGCCATGGTGTTGGCCGTGACACTCTCTTGACGTTGCCCATGCCAAGGGCTCGGCAGCTGGGCGTCTTGGCGGCGAAAAAGCAGACCAGAACCAGAACTACTCTATCCCCCCCCCCCTTCCCTTCCGCTGCATTTGTCCTGGGACAAGACAAGACCAACCGGTCTCTTGGTCCTGTTCTTGGACGTTCCGCTCTGTCTCTTTCTGTCTTGGGAAGGGTAGTGAAAGGAAAAAAAAAGTCGTCCATGGCATTCTTCTTATAAGTCACCCTACCTGCCCTTCCGCTCCTGTCCTCCATTCCTCTCCTCCCCCCTCTCCTCCTCCTCTCCTCCCCCCTCTCCTCCTCCTCTCCTCCCTCCCCTCTTCCTCCTGCGCTTCAATCCTCTCCCCCCTCTCAAATCTCCGCCTTGCTCTGGATCTCTCCATCCCTCCCCCTAGTCCCGTCAGGACCGATAAGCTATAAGCTCCGGTACATGCCTTGAGATCGTTATGCCCCTTGCACCTAGAGCCATGCGGTGAACTTCATCCCTGCAGCTGCTCTCTTCACAGTTCACACAGTATCTCTGTGCGTGTGTACTCTCTGGTACCACCTTGTGTTGCTCCTGCGGCATTTCTCAAGGGGGTAGCATTTCCTGTCGCGCCCTTGATTGCTCCACCGACTCCCCTCTCTACTCTCCCTCTCGGTGCCTACCTATTACCCCCCTCCTTCCTCTACTCCGCCCGTAATGGAGCAGCCGGAAATGTCCCAGCCTGCTACCCACCGTCAAGATGATAGTCACCTCGTGACAGCTTATTTTCCGAACCCAACACCCACTGTGCCTGCTGCTGCAGCACATCCTCCCCCACACATTCTGCCGTCGCACTCGTCGCCATCACCTCACCACTATCATTCAGAGGTTGACTCCTCTCCGTCGGAATTCCACTATCTTGACGACTCCCATCACATCTCACACCCTGAACATCAGCAGCCACAACGGCATTCTCGACGACAGCATAGCCTATCACATCAAACCCCACAGACTGGGGAACATCTATATCCGGATTTGGGGCAGGCTTCGGTGCCTCCAGAGGCGTCGGCTGCCTCGCCTTATCACGAGAACGGCTCCGTATTATCTCGGGCTTCAGGTGCAAGCGAAGTCGGGCGCAAAGAAGGGCGCGTTCGTGGGAGTTGGACCGATCATTCGTCATATATGTCGGGAGACAATCACCCCAATGGCGCATCTCGCGTACATAAACGAGCGATTCATGACGATGACATAGCCCCGGAGGAAGAGCCGGATGCGCTGTTAATGCTGGTGAGCTTTGTCTATTTCCGAATAACTAGTTATTTCGGCCCGTAGCTAACCGCACTGGATATTAGTTTCGACTCTCCATCCCCGTTCCCGTATTCTCCTTCTGCGCATCGTTGTATACCATCTTCGGCGTGCTCTTCGTCCTCCTTGTCTCACCGCTTCGCATCTGTTCCTGCATACCCTACTTTCGGGCGACGTCCTTCCGGGCACAACTGTGCGGTCTGCTGGTACCCCAGTTGCATATTCATGAACGACTGGTCTGCTTGCGACAATCTTCTTCAAGATCATTATCCACCCAGCCGATATATGACCCGGAGGGATCCTATGTGGCAGAATCCATCGACTCGTATTCAATCGGAGGCCTGCTCACCGTCCTCCTTCTATCGCCGTTCCTATCCATCGCCATAACTCTCCTGGCCTGGATTGCAGCATTTTTCTGGATCTTCGCCATGGTTCTAGGCAATCCAGATGGCACAGAGCGCAAAGACGATGGCCGGGCAGCCGTTCTCGGTGTTTGCCGATGGTGGCAGATTTGGCTTGGCAAAGCCCGTAAGCCACTCGCTTAGCGTATCGGTGTGAACCACCCTTGTGGATATGAAATTCGCTTTGATCAAGTCAATCCCGTTGTTTGATGCCGGCATGATACCAACGTTTGGGATATGTGGAATGATCTTCTTGAGGCTCCGTCTTTTGTTTTCTTTTCGATTTTATCCCCTTTTTATTTCTTATTCATTTTTTCTTGTCTTCAGTCAGATGACTGATTTGAGGATTCCCTCCGGAGTTGGGATATTGGTCGCCGGCGCGGGGAATTTATCATCCTTATCACCCATGACTCACGGGCCATCGTAGAAAGGGAACACTGCTATTATGAGATTCTGAAAGCGAAGGAAGGGATTCTAGGAGTTGAGTTGGATCAAAGCGGTCTTCCGGCGAAGTGAGCTCACTTTGATTGATTTTTTTCATTTTTACCCTCTTATTTCCCTTTTCATGTACTCATACAATACCGAGTGAGAATTGATACCCACATTTTGTTGTTTTCTTCGTTTTCCTCTCGTCCTTCTTCCCCACATAACTTCGACTAGTCAATAAAGTCAGTTAGTACCCGATTAATTATGGAGTAGAAGTAGATCACCTACCTCACCGCACATCCATACCAAACAGAGTAGATGGAAATCGGACGAGTGCAAAATGCAACAAGGGAAAAGAAAGGAAAAGATCAAAGTAAAGAAAAAAGGCGAAAGTTACCCCGCCCCGCTTTGAAAAAAAAAAAATGAAACAAATCTGATAGATCAGATCAACATTTGTCAACTTGTATCACCTTACTACGTAATGTCTATACTAGTTAGTTGCTTGCGCTCGGGAGAAGAATCCCGGAAGGAAGAACGGCAGGCAGGCAGGCAACCTGCATAACGGGACGGAGTATAGTAAATAACTAGTAAGTGTAAAGTACCGAGAGATAAGGTTATTTAAAGCGCGGATATGTACTTACTTGAGAACTAAGGTAGATAGGTATGAAGGAATTAGTAATGAATGAGCAGATCAATGAGGGAGGGCTCCGACAGGTTATATAGGATAGATACTCAAGATGATATTATATATCTGTGTATGAAATACTTATGTACTACGAGGGTTTCTGTGACGAAATGGTTTTCTTCCTTTTATCCAGGTGGTATGTATGTATGTATGGTGTTTCGTACTTGAGAGGACTTACGATGATTATATTATTATGTTAAAGGAAGAGAGAGACTAAGATATGATACTAACTGTGTTATATTTTTTAACTAAGGAAGGTGCAACAATTGGAGTGAACTGAACAGAGAACAATAGCAGATAGCAAAGCAGCAAAGGATAATGAATAAGAAAGGGTATATGAAGATACACCTAAGGAAAGAAGCAAGCAAGCAAGCACAAACCACCTCACACTGAATAGACACTAACACTAACTCAACTCAACTCACTGACTTGAATTAGTAAAGTAAACTACCTTTTTTTTAATCCGCGATGAAAGAAGGAATGAATGAGGAATAAGGACATGTTCAGGTCAATCGTATCGTTAAGTATGTACGTATTCACAGCAAATCAGGAAAGAATAGAAAAAACATAACAAAATAAAGGTAAAAAGGAAAAATAAACGGTCTCGTCATACTCCATACATGACATGATAAACTTTGAAAAATGACTTTCATTGACTATTCGGTATCCAGTGCCGTTAAAATAATGCTTTTTGAGTGTGGTATGTGTAAAAGGGATGACTGAACCTGAACTGACTATTGGTGATGTATCAAATCAGTTCAGTTGTGGAGGTATGTGGTTGGAGGGTAGGTGCTGTTGATTGATTGATTTATCTCCGGGTGCCGCCAACACGGAAACCGCCGCCACGGCCGTTACCACGGCCGCCACCACGGCTACCACCACGGCTGCCACCACGACCGGGGCGACCACGCATGGGCATGCGCTTTTGAATGCGTCCGGCGCCGCTGGGACCGTGAGTCTTGGGCATGCCTAGGCCACGACGGCCAGGGCCGGGTCGGGAGGCAGGGCCAGAGGCGTTGTTGTCGTTGTCATCGTCCACGTCCATATCGTCACCCCCCTTCTTCTTCTGGGACTGGGCCATCTTGAGCTTACCACGTTGGCCGCGACGGACGGCGTCGGGACCGCTGACGGCTTGCACGTAGGCGTTGATGCCGCTCTCTCCAGCGTTGTTGTCCAGGCCAGCGGACATGTCAACATCCTCGTCATCATCGCCAAGGATGAGACGGCCGTCGGAATCGACCTTCGCGTTGCGCTTCTTCCGGGAACCGGGGCCAGTGTTGAGGAAGCGGACACTAGGCTTGGTGGTGGAAATGTTGGCCAGGGCATCGGGGGCGAGAAGGTCGAGAGGGTTGTCTTCGGGGGACATTTCACGAATGTACTGCTCGCTCTGCTTGTTGGACCGCTTGCCCTTGCGGCCCTTGAGCGCATGAGTGACGCCCTCCTCATCGACGTCAATCTCACTGGCGTCGTCGTCAGAGTCGAGGTCGGAGTCGTAGACGGCCTTGTCGAAGGCGTTGCTGTAGGACCGGCCGCTCTTCTCTTCTTGTCCGGCGGGCTCATCGTTCTCCTCATCGTCTTCGCCATCCTGCTCGGCGTTCTTCTTCTTCTTGCGTCTCTCGCGCAGCTTCCGGATATTGACCACCAGCTTCCGGTCAGCCTCACCAACCAGCTCCTCGATAGGAGCGGCACCGAAGCGTCGGATAAGGCGATCAAGGATACCCTTTACCTTGCTGCGGAGACGACCCTTGTGCTCCTTGCTCCAGACCATCAGGTTGGGAACAAGGGAGCTGAGGCGCGCACGGAGATCTTCATCGGGAAGAACAACCACGGCGACCTTGACAAAGCCGAGCACAGACCGGACAATCTCGCGGTTGTTGCTGGTAAGGAACAACTCCACGGTCTGGACCAAGTCGGACCGGACAGTAGGTTGGATCTGGGTGTGGAAATCGAAGAACAACCGAGACAGAGCTGTGACGGAGGCAGCAACCATGTGCGGCGAGCTACCAGCCAGACCGGCAGACACCATTGTGAAGAACTCCTCAATAGTGGCGGGAGCATCAGGGGCATCATTAGGCATGTGCGGCACCAGGGAGTTGCGGATCTTAGTGCCGGCAGGGTTCTTCTCTTCGTCGGTAGTTCTCTTTGCCAGGTGGATGAGCAGGTCGAACGAGGCTGTCCTAGCCTTCTCATTGCTCTCCTTGCAGCCCAAGACAACTTCCGAGAGAACGGATGGAATGAAGTGCAGGTCGGAGGTCGGCAAGTAGGTGATGAGTTCGTAAATCGCCAGCATACGATCCCGACGAGCAGATGCAGGGGTCTTATCCGCCGTGCCCAGGATGAGCGCCTGAAGCTCCGAACTGCGCTCTTGAAGCGCGGCGCTTCCAGTCTCTGTCTGGGCCAAACGGGGGATCAGCTTGTATGCCTTCTTGATCAGCTGTTGATCACCAGTCTGTCCGTTAAGGATAGCCGCAGCTATGCCAAACAGGTTTGCGAAGCTGGTGCGAGGCAGGTAAATCGACATAGCAATAACCAGGTCGATCAAAGTGTGCGACGTAGGTGGCATCTTGTCGCCAGAACCAGTCTGCTGATTGCCCTGCTTGGCTGCTTCAGTCTCTGAAACCACGGAGGACTCCAACATCGAAGTGACACGTTCAAACGTCTCGTTCAGCTCCTGTAGAAGATATATTAGCAAGTCAAAAATTCAAATATTGGCGATGAGAACCAACCTTCTCAGGGGCAATGCTCAGATAAGCATTGATACACTGGAGAATGTAGCCTCTGTAGTGTGGGAGAGTTTGGCTGTACACGTTGAACAGAACCGCCAACAAGTTGCTGGCAAAACCGGCAAGATGAGCAACGTTCTTTTCCGCTGCCTTCTTGGTAATCCTACGCTGGAGGATCAGATCATCCTCGTTCGCCTCAAGGGACAAGATGGCCTGGTTCGACTCCACCAGATTCTGCAAAGCTCTGCAAATGTCAACACGCAGGTCGGTCTGCTTGTAGAGGACGTTGGAAAGGAGCTCCGCAAAGCCCTGATCGAAAGACTCAGTCAAATCCAGAGGAAGCTCACAGTAGCCCGGAAGGATAGCCCACGTCTGCTGAACGAGAGTTTCGAAGATCTTGACTTCAACGGCCTTCTCCCTGGCGCTGAACTCCATGACCTTCTGGTACAAAGCTTCACTGAGAGGGACGAACTCAGAACGGAAGTGGGCAAGGTCGGTGTTGGTGACGTTGTCGCGGAGAACCGGGAGGAGCCACACGCGACCAGGCTGGCCATTCTTCTGCTCAATAATATTCAAGGGCAGAATTTCCAGGACTGCAGCAGGGCCCATGGCCTCAATGGCGCTACCAAGGACGTTGTCCGCCTCCTTCTTTCCCTGGAAAGACTCGTTGCTGCGGAGCTCTCCGACCGTCTTGACAATATCATCCAAGAAAGGGCTAGAGCGCCACTTGAAGCTGTCGAACAGAGCCGCACACACGTTGAACACTTCCCGCCATGCTGCCTGGTACTTGACGGAAAGCAGATCCATAGCAGCCTTGGCAATCTTCTCGAGCGTCTTCTCATCGTAGACAGAGGGCTCAATGATAACGCTGTTGGGGATGCAGTTGGCCAAGAACGAAACCAAACATTCAGATGCCGACACACGGATGTTGCTGGAGGGCGAGGCCAAATAGCCGGAAACCATGTTGAACAAAGCGGGCAGCTTCTCAAACGTATCCTCGGGGCTGGTCTGAGCAGAGACATCGTAACCACGGGACAGCACGGCAATCCACGGCGGCAGGAGCTGCGAATCGTTCTGGGCGGGCTTCAAGTCCGTGATCGCCTCTAGGAGACGGGGTAGCTTCGAGGACGAAAACTCATCGGCCATGCTGGAGAAGATCACCTCGAACACCTCAAAAGCACCCATCGTGATGAATTCGTTCGTGGACCGGGAAGCGTTCATCAAGAGCTCGCACAGCGGCTCAATCTTCTTGCTGGGCCAACCACCGGATGCGACCGCGAGTGTCTTCACCAGTTGCAGAGAGTGGATGA